AAATATAGATATACAATTATAACCCATGTGATTGCCAAGAAAAGTTTCAAAGTATGTTCAAATATATTTTAGGACATAAAACTAGAAGTGTTTATTTTTTGTTAATGAATAAATGTCTGATAATTTACATGTTTAACATGTTTCAGGTTTGCTTATAATGAAGCATACCTATAGTTTATTTTCTTATGTGTTATATGATCCTATTAATACCATAAATTATACTTTCCAGGAAGTACTAGAAATTAAAAGACCGCCACTTCATACAAAGTAAGTTTTGTCCAAACTGCTTTAAAAATTGCTAGCATTCCCTTCTTAAAGTTTCTTTTCTTCTTTTGCATGAGAACCAGCTTTGCCAGAGCCAAGTCTGACCATAACCTCCACTGTTAATAAACAAATGTAAAATATCATTTGTCCACGGTACCACATAGTTATTACGCCTACATTTTTAATCTATTCAACAGAATAATGTACATTAATTCTTTATTTCTTTCTTTTTGGGACAGGGTCTCCCCCAGGCTGACCTTGAACTCACCATAGAGCCCAGGCTGGCCTGGAACTCAGGTATTTTTCTTCGGCCTCAGCCTCTCAGGTGCTGGAATTACAGGCATGCACCACTATGCCCAGTCACTAATTCTTAAATAGCATGAAATTTTTTCTTAGTTCCTTGATAAAGTCGGGTATGGTGGCCCATGCCTGTACTGCCAGCACTCAGGAGGCTGAGGCAGAATAGGATGGTCACTGAGAGTTCGAGGCCACCCTGTGCTATATGGTAAGGCCAGCCTGAATTACATAGCAAGACCTTGTCTCAAAGAAAAAAAAAATTATTTATAAACATATATAAAGGGCCAGGGATATAGCTTAGCAGAAAGTACCTGCATGGCAAGCACAAAGTCCTGAGTTCAATCCCCGGTACCAAAAAAAAAAAAAAACCCAAAATCATACTATATAAAAAGTATATCATTTTGTAGTGTTTTAGTATAGACTGAATTTTCTCTAAATGCAATTGTTATATAAATTGAAAATTCTACTGTTTACCACTTGAGGAAACCAATTTGTTAATGAAATGGCCCTTACAGTATATGATATACCAATATAGTAAATACATCTGTTTGCATTTGTAGCTGCCACATACTGTGATTCTTTGCATTGTTGCAATATGCCAGAACATCACTTCATTTATGTCTTCTGACGCAATCATGATTGAGCATTTACATAGACATGTTATTTTCTAATAAAATATTTCACCTTTATGTTTCAATTAGAATATCACATTGGTTTTTAAAAAAATTATATTTAATCTCATTTCAGGATTTCAGGATATTACAGGAGACTTCACAGTGCAGCATATGTTATAAAATGGACCCTGGAATAGAGAAATTGAGAATCACTGGCCTGAAATTCACCCTTCACGGGTCTGAACTACTAAAGGGGCCTCCTAATTGTATTGAATATCTTGTATTCTACATAGTCTGTCTTCTTCCTATTAAGATACCTACAGTTGTAAAAACTACTATTAGTTCTATCTTCAACCACAGCATTCCCAACTGCCTTACAAATCAGCTTGATACTGAGATTTTTCACAACTCTACAAAGAAATTCTACCTAATCGTATCCAAGCCAACAAGTCATAGTGGAAAGTATAAGATTTGGAAGTCAAAGTGTAAAATTTGAATCCTGGGTCTGCTGTTTATTAAAGGAATGATCCTAGGCAAGTTACTTATAACTTTCTGAATCTGTTTCCTCGTTTCTTAAGGGATGATTATAAAGGATGTTCTTCACAGGGCTGTGGTAAGGAATGAATCAGATATAGTACTAGGTTGAAGAGTTTGCTAATGCCAAGTATGGTGTGCACACCAGTAATTGTAGCTACTCAAGAGACTGAGGCAGGATAAGGAGTTAAGAGGCCAACCTGGACAAAATAGGGAGACCTATCTCTAAACTTTTTTGTTGAGACAAGGTCTCACAATGTAGTTCAGGCTGGCCTTGAACTCAACTATTTAGCCCAGACTGGCCTCGAACTCCTGGAGATTCCCTGCCTCAGCCTCCTGAGTGTTAAGATTACAAGCATGGGCCAACACAGCTGGCATATCTTCAAACTTATACCTGTTTTGTTCAGATATGTATTCGAAGACCCTAGCATGTTACCTGGCACCTAGCAGTGCTTAAGAAATGTGTGTTGAATGAGAGTATACTTGCCTTCTGAAACCTTCCTAGGCAAGCCCACCTGGCTCTGTTCCAGAAATATATCAATTAAATAATTAAATCCTCACAAATTGAGTGCTTACTAAAAGTAAATATCTAATCTCTGCTCTTAGAAAACAGAAAAAATGCTGAAAAATGACAAGTCAACATAAAAGCTATCACAAACAAATGGTATTGGCAATAAGTTCTGTGCATTTAAAAGGTAAGATATATCATTCTGAACTAGAGTAGCACGCAATACGAAGTGTAAAAAGGATAAAACAGGCATGTTTAGAGGCTTTCTCCATCTAATCTATTCTTCTTTCAGTCTAAGGAAATTTTATAATATCCCAATCTGTCAATCCCCTGCCATTTTAGGCATCAAAATAGTACCATGACTAAAGATAACCCAATTCTTTTTTTTTTTGGTACCGGGGATGGAACTCGGGTCCTTGCGCTTGCGAGGCAGGCGGCGGAGCCACTGAGCTAAATCCCCGGCTCTCCCAATTCTTTCTCTTGTTTTACAAGGTGCTCCCCGTGTTCTAATCCCTGTCCCCTTTATCTCTGGATACTCCACTGGTCAATAAGAGCCATACACACATGTGGCTACTGAGCAATTGATGTGGCTAGTCTGAATTCAGATGTGCTAAAGTGTAAAAAAAAATGTAAAACATCTCAATTTTATAGTGATTGTATGCTATTATTCTTCAGGTCAAATAGAATACATATGCACTCCTCAGCCATAAAGAACGAGAAACTAGAGACATTTATAGCTAAACGGATGCATATTGAGGCCATCCTCTTAAGCGAAATAAATAGGATACACATGTATAAATACCGAATAGTTTCTCTAGTGTGAGAAACTGAAAGTGTAAATAAGGATTATAATGATTAAAACAAATTATTGATAATCTGAAATAGGAAAAAAAGGTCCAAAGGGGTAGGGGTGGTGGGAGGGGAAGGGGAAAGGAAAGAAGGGAAAGGAAAAATTAAGAGAAAAGAAAAAAAATGGGAATGAAGTCTATGTAAATAGGGAAGGGTGAAGGGGGTGAAGGGCGCACAGGTAATGGAGAAAAAATAAAAACCAAGATACATCATGTACAGGTACAAGCACCCAATGATAAATGTAAACACACTGTATACCTAAAATGTACCAATAAAAGAATTTAAAAGAAAAAAAAAGAAATATGAAAACAGACCCTTATCTCTGACCAGTTTAAAAAATATCAACTCAAAATGAATTAAAGACTTAAACAAGAAACCTGAAACTGAAATTACTAAAAGGTAACTAGGGAAAATGCTTCAGGACACTGGAATCCACAAAGATTTTTGGGACAAGATCCCAAAACACAAGATACAAAAGCAAAAACTGACAAATGGGACATCAGTCTAAAAACTTATGTAGAGCAAACAACCATCAGAGTGAAGAGACAACAGAAATGGGAGAAAATATGTATTTGACAAAGGGGTTAATATTCAGACTATACAATGAACTAAAAATAAGGGACTAGATTTAAAATAAGAACGATATACCTAAATAGACATTTCCCAAAAAAGATCAACAACTGACCAACAGATGTATTAAAAATGCTCAGCATCACAGGCAAATGTAAATGAAAACCACAACAGAAAAAAAAAAACAACCCACAATGAGGGATCACCTCCAGTAACAATGGCTGTAATCAAAAAGACAAAAGATAACAAGGTTGGCAAGCCCTGCACACTGTTGATAGGAATCTAAATGAGTATAGACAGCTACTGTGGAAAACAGTAGTGAAGAGTTCTCAACAAATTACACTACTGGGCATATACTCAAAGGAAATGAAATAGTATGTTGAAAAATCTGTACTCTCAAGTTCACTTCAGCAATATTCACAACAGCTAAGAAATGGAAAAATCTAAGTGTCCATCAACTGATAAATGGATAAAGAGAATGTGGTACCTATACAAAATGGAATACTATTCAGCCATAAAAAAGGAATGAAATCTTGTCACTTGCCACAACATGGATGGAACTGGAGATCATTACGTGATATAAGCCAGGCACAGAAAGACTGCATAGTCTCACTCATATGTGGAATATGTGGAAACAGAAAGTTGATCTCATATAAGTTGGGAGTAGAATGCTGGTGGAGTGTGTGTGGGAAGCTGACCAATGAATACTAACTTACAGTTAGATAGGAGTAAGAAGTTCTAATGTACTCTTATAGGGTCAATTGGGTAGCTAAAGATAACTATAATGCACTATATTTCAAAAAGCTAGGAGAAAGAATTTTGAAATTTTCACCATAACGAAATAGCTATTCTTGTTTGAGGAAGATGGTTGTCTTTATCCTAATTTAAACATTACGCACTGTATACATGTATCTAAACATCATGGCACACCCCAAAAAAAGGCACAATTTTTACGTTTTTAATTATCAATTTAAAAATTAAACTTAAAAATGGGGCCACAAAAAAATCTTTAAAATACTTGTGAGGCTCGCATTATGTTTCTACTGGACACCTCCTTTTCCCAGCGGTACTTTTCAGCTTGAATGAACCAATCGTACATCTCTGCTACTGCCTATTTTCTAGTCTGTGTCCTCGACGAGACTGGGAGCACCCTGAGAAGACAGAGATCCTCCTCAGAATACTTGTTTTCTACGCTACCAGACAAAATCTGGCACAGACAGAGATGGTGAAAGAGCAGGAGCACAAGGGTTCGAGGGGTGAGCGGGACAGCGGTGAGGCGGGGATTAGGAGTACCCGGGGGCGCCAACTGAGCAGGCCTGGGCGCCAAGATCCGGAGAGGGGCGGGGGCCGCCTTCGGTACTCACCAGTCGGTGATCAATATCTGCGTCGGGATTTTTGGCCGAAGGCGGCGAGTACTCTGCGTAACGCAGCCCCTCGCTGGCTGAGGCAACGCCACTGCGAGCAGCCATGGCAGTGTCTTTGGAGACGCGCAGCGCCGCCTACGAGGCGACCGCAGGGACAAACTTCTCTAAAAGCGAGTTAATTCCGCGCCCTCAGGAAACACTGTTTCAATTTGGTGTGTTGATGAAAACGAAGCTCTAGAAGAGCGCGCTCTCTCTCTCTGTCTCCCCCCCCCCCCCCGCGCTCCTCGTAGAATGTTTCCCCCTTCTTCGATTCACAGGCTCAAAGCCAAGGCTGGGCCTCCTGGGCCGTAGTGTGGTGGGGGCTGGGTTTAAACCCTAGATGATGCAAGTCTTATCAGAGGCCAGGCCAGCGTAGGCTCAAGAAATCTAGCTGTAGTACTGGAGGGTGGGAATGGGCCTAAATGTTCCTGACCCAGTTCCAGCCCTTCTTCTCACGTGTTTAATGCCATATTTCTCCCACCAGCAAGAGGCAATTTGCTTATTCTATCCCCAAATGAATGGCTATATTGGAGGTAAATTTACAGAAAAGAGATTTGTAAGTAAAAATAAATAAATAAATAAATAAATCTCATTTTCCATAAGTGGTTGTGTGCAAGCTTGAATATAGAAAGACTCATTTCATTATTAATTTGTAACTCAAGATTTTTGGAACAAAAATTAATCAACAGTTGAAGCTTGTATAATGTATTCCAACTCCTGTACTGATGTGGCAGCTCTTTTGCCCTTTATACCCATTACAAAATTAGCTTGCAAGAAGGGAAGTCTTTCTTTTCATTATTTATTTTTTTCTTTTCCAGGATTAAAAATTTTAAGGATCTATTTATTCATGATTAATATCATTAGCATGCCCAAGAAATTAGGGCGGGAGGAATTTACAGTCTAGGAGGGAACATAACACTGACATGGTGATAACAATAAATACTAGAACATGAGCACTTGCATTGTAGGGCAGTATAAAGAAAGTTGGAGTGGAAGTAAAGAAGTCTGAGTTCTAACATATGTGCCATCGTTTTTCTGGTTTGTGTCTCTGAACATGCTCATTATCCTTTCCAAATCTTTCTTATCTGTAGAAGAGGAGCCATATTTGACCAACATTCTGACTCGGGAAAGTTATAAGGAGAAAAGAAAACGGAAGCAACAACCACAGTGGTATTTGGGTTTACAGATGGGAATGTCTACTTTTAACAGCTCAACAGAGAAAGGCTGTTGGAGGCTTAGCCTTTACTGAAATGATCAGCAAAGAGTAAGTAAAATTAATTTAGATGGAAGAGGAACAGGACTAGAAATTTTAAATGGAAAAAAATGCAAAGAAATAAAAAATGGGGCATGTAGGACTGGATTAAAAATATTCCAGTATTCTTCAGAGGCATGACCTTATGATGGAAATTGATTTTTATTAAACCAATCCACAACTATGAAGGATATTGGTGAACCAAGCAAATGGATTTGGGCCTACAAGTCAGTCATCCATTCATTCATCCATTCATTTATTCAGTAACTACTTACTGAGTATTTGTTAGGTATCAGGCATTACAGCGGGCATTGGACATTTAGCACCAAGCAAACAATAAGGTTTATGAGTCCTTGGAGTACACAATCTATAGGAGGTTTATGGTGTACCTAGCAGCTGGTTCCTAATAGTCACAGGCTGCTAGCTTGGACAAAATGATCACTTAGGGCAAGACCCAGGTGAGCTAGCTCTTTTTAGGACAACTGCCCTTCTCAAGAACCGGAGAGAAGTTTCCAGAGCAGAAGCCAGGAAAAGTGGGAAAGGAGATCCAAGCAGGGGACAGGATATCACAGTGTGGGAGAGTGAGCTCTGCAAGGTTACATCTCAGGTCAGACTCAAGGTATAGTCATGACTGACCCATGTTCCAGTGCTGTCCTGGATATCTACCCCCACAAAAGTACCCAGTTTTAAAGAAAAATCTCATCCTCCAAGACTATTTGGTCCCCAGCCTTTGGATTTTGGTGGGTTCACTCTCACCAGCCAAGAAAGTATAGAAATACTGGAAGAGCCAGGGGTGGTGGCCCAGGCCTGTGATCCCAGCACTTGGGAGGCTGAGGCAAGAGGATCACTGAGTTTGAGGCTAGCCTGAGCTACATAGTGAGACCCTGTCTCTAAATAAACAAACAAATAAATAAATAAATAATAAAAGAAATACTGGAAAAGCAATAAAGTACTTTTTCTCCCCACAAAGATCTCTTTCTCATTCAGCTAAATTCTGACTTGATGAAGAGGAGCAATTTTTGTGAAACTCAAAAGGGAGACCACATTAAATTTTCATTGGCTTATTTTTATGAGTTGCATTGCTTCAAAGACAGATTACATTATATTCAACAGGCTTTGTGAAAGGAAGGAATTAGTAATACACTTTGGAAACATTTCAGTAAAAATTGTTTTTAAAAATTTGTTATTTGTAAGGAATTTTAGGGAAAAAAATGACCTCTGTTTCAGTTTCCTAATTAATAGAGAGGGTGCCAATAACAACTACCTTATGAGGATTAAATTATTAAATGAGTGGACTTTTTAAAGCTCTCAGAGCAGTGCCTGATACCCAGTAATACAATAGTGTTATTACTATTTTCATTATATTACCTCCTCCCTAGTTATTTCCTTAGTATTTTCTTTTTTCTGTCCCACATTTCACTAACAGCTGTGTTTATTCACAATGATTATTGTCTTACTCATTGCTGAGACAAAATACTCAATACTCAAAGTTAAAGGAAGAAAGATTTATTTGGCTCACAATTTATAGAGGTTTCAGTCTATAATCAGCTGGCTCCAGTGAAGAACAGTTAATGGTGCCCACAAGGGAGCAAAAGCAACAAGGGACCTTAACAGTGTCTTTCTGCCCCTTTTATCTTATCCAGATTACTTAGGGAAGGCAGCACTCACACCATTAATCCTAGTGCCTTTGAGCCTAGCATTGCACCATGAATCAATTCCAAGGTCACACACTCCAGCTGCCTCTGAAAAAGCCCACCTATGACCCAATGAGGCTTTGAGGAGGACATCTAAACACAAGCCATAACAGCTGTCTTGTACTACAAACATGTACCAATAAAAGTTAAAATTTTAAAAATAAATTATAAAATTTTATTAAACATTATGTAGTAATGAAGCACACATAGGAGGAGGTATGAAATTGAATGCCTTAGAAAGACTTGATAAATCAATTTCTTAAAAAAAGAGAGAGTGTTGCTAAATAGTGAGCATGAGAATAGAATCAGAAAAAAATGAATGTGATTCTACACTCAGTTTTTTCCTAAAATATCTTGTTCTCTCTTCATTTTAAACAAATCCAAATTAGGAAACTAGAGGGTGGATTATCATTATGGAAAAAATCCAAGACAGAACTGAATCAGAGGACCTTTGTTTAGGTAAAAGGCTTTGGGCCTACAAATATGCAGAGTATATGAATAGATACACAATGTGTCTGTTGGGGTATTAAAATTTCACTGTGGTAGAGAGATGGTTATTAGGGAAAAATCTATAAAGCACCTTGGAGGAGATAATGAAAAAAAATTGAAAAACTGATTTATATATGATGTTAAAAAATGTTTAAGTGTATATCATATCATTAAGGAGCTCAGGATATAGTTTAGTGGTAAAGCCTTTATCTGGCATGCACAAGAACCTGGGTTTAATCCCTAGAGCCACTAAATAAATTAATTAATTATAATAATTTTTAAAGTATGTACCACTAGTATTAGGATCTTGGATTTGATTAACCCATCAAGTACTATCCTGGTCTAGTCAGAAAAAAAGGTTGTATTGTATGACAAAGTGTAGAGGGCACAAAGGAGGACTCTAGAATATTTAAGGAAGGAGTGAGAAAAACTAGCTCTTAAGATGACACTGGACAGATGAATATATAATTTCCTTCATTATAAGAATGGGGCTGGCATGAAGAAATGAGGTACAAGAAAATTTGTAAAGAAAAGAATAAAGATGGATGAGGGTAAACAGACACCCAAAGGCCAGACACTGAACAGCTTTATATGATAAGCAAAAGCATTTAGAGTTTATTTTGTAGGTGAGGGTAGAACACAAAAAACCATTGAATCCTTTAGTGACATGATCAGATCTACATGCTAGGAAGAGCATCCTGTCAGCAATGTGGCCAATCAGTAAGAAAATAATCACGATAGTCTGAGTAAGAGATGTTGAGGACTAAACTAGAGCAGTGGTGGGGAACATGGAAAGGAGGGGCATAGTGACCTTATTTCCTTCTTCATCACACTGAATCCCTTGTAGCCCCTCCCAACATGGACCCCAGCATTAACTCCCTCCCATACTCACAGGGTGGGCTATGATTGACCTAAGCCACTCAATGCACACCATCACTCCAGTCATGATGTTTCTTTCATGGGTGAGTATTTTGCCCTTCTGGGACACTGGGATTATAGGAAAAGTTTGCTTAGTGTTTCTGGGAAAGTGTTTCCTCTTCAGTTGGATATGAAGAGAGAAACAAGAAATTCTAATTGTGGTTGGAGGTTGTTTGATAACCACGAAGTAGGATAACATTAATTTATCATCAAAAACAAGGTTATACTTTCAAGAAAAAACAGTGCTATAAATAATTCATTTAGGATGATAATGTAGCTATAACTATCCAGCAAGCCAGGACATATGACATTCTTACTATTAGAAGAGATGGTCCTAGGATAAGGCAAACATCATTGAAAACCATGAGGAAATTAAATACTTGATGATACTGTTTACTACTACATAACAGTTCAATTGAAGTTGACCCTGCCTCTGAACTTTTTGGTCATGAGAGTAAAAGCTCCCTTTATTTTAATTTTTCTTTAATTTTATATTTAAAGATTTAAGCAATTAAAATGTACAAAAGATAGCACAGTAAACCTTCATATCCTCCAAATCCAGATCCAACCATTTTCAAGTTTTTGTCTTAATTCTTCATCTGTTTTTTTCTTTCTGATAAAATATTTTTAAACAAATCAAGACATTTCACTCTGATTATTTCAGTATGGGTTCTTACTAAATATGAACATTTTCCCCAGCATATCCACACAATTGTGACTCTTAACAAAAACAAATTGACAACCTTTCATGCCATTTAATATCCAGTCCATATTCACATTCTCTTGTTTGATCTAAAAACACTTTAACAG